CATATAGTCCCCAAATTTCGAATCCTGCACGAACCTCGAGGATAGTTCTTGAACGGCGACGGCTGATACTTGGGTTCGATATGGATTCCACTGGCGCCGTAGAAGTCGGACGAGCTGTCCAAATTGTACGGATGTGGCGCCTGGTGATCCTGTGACAAGCCGTGATACTCAGACGCCTCGTCATAGCCCGAATAATGCGCCGGCGTCATGTAACTTTCTGTGGCGGTCGCGCTAACTCTCAAGTCGCTCTCGTTGCTACCCGCTCCGGTGAGCTCGCCCCCGCTGCCGAGGCCGCCGCCACCGCCTTGAAGATGCTCGGTGATGTGATGATTGGTGTAGTTCGCTGTAAAATTTTTACAAATTATGAGTGCTTTTCAGCAAACGTACACAGGCGACACTGTGTAACACACAGTGTACAACCCAGTGCTTTCCAACTATGCCACGAGTCGTCGGTACAATCGTACATAGCTAAAATGCTGTGTACGTATTGTTTTGTATCACTTCATGGATACCAACATTTTTGCATTTGATATCACTGGAGCGGATATCATTTTCTATATAAAAATTATTTAATAATTTTAACTGATTAATAAAATTAAATAATTTTAAATAAAGTAAAATTGTAAACTTACTATACCACCGACAATATATAAAATCATTAATCGATGATCTTATGGGAGTTAGTGTGGGCTGAAAAATTCGTTAAATGATTGTTCTGCACTCGGTAAAATAAAAAAGCTAAATAGTGTTTCAGCTACAAGTTGATATTGTGTAACACAGTGTATCATTGTGTTTCGTAGCTGAAAAGCACCCAATATCTCTTCGACTCGGTTCTCTTTTCGTTTGATAAAATTTCATAGAACAACGATTAAAATTACGTATTTTAACAGGAATTTATGACAAATCATATTTAGGAAGTAATTTAAAAATAAATCAAGAAATTAAAAACAATTTCTTATAATAACTATGTTTGAATAAAGTATAAAAAACATAAAAAATATAAAATGTGAACTAGCATAATATACATAAAATGCGTCTTAATAAACAAATTTTATGAAAAAATAGTTTTGATTGTATTTTTCTTAAATATAAAAAAAATTATTCCATATCGTGTATATTTTATAAATAAACAAAGTTGTTCGCATAAATGAATAAATTTCTAGAAAATAAAATGTATGGTGAACATGATATTCGACAGAAAAACAAATAAGAGACTTACATTCCGTTTTGAGCTGATTTAAATTCCGTAGATGTATATACGCGTTGTTGGCATTGTTGTTATTGTTGTTGTTGTTATTACTGTTAGGAGTACTAGAGTGAGAGGTCGGTGGTTGGGTGCTATGGCTGTGGGGTGGAGGTGACGTTTCGTCTCTTTGACTTTCGTCTTGGCACACGGGACTACGGAGGTGATTGTAGCCGCCTGAAAATTGAAAGAAACGATTCGTATTGCATTACATTGTCTTAATAAATAACAAAGAATATGTCAGCTTGACTAATAAATATTTCAAATTCCGTACATTTATGTTGCATAAACTCAAAGGAAAAATGGACATACCAACATATATGTGTGTGGGCATATTTATTAATGTATAAGAAGATAAAGAAGTAAATAATATTCTAATGTTATTAACAGTTATTAACAGCTCAAGTTTACTGTTTCGTTTATAGAAAATTTCGAAGATATCTCAATGAAGATATGATAAAATATATATATAAACATATCTTAGATAAGACAAAAAATTTTTGTTTTTTTAAATTTCAGATAAAATAAGATAGATTAATTTTATTTAGATAAAAAATATTATAAGATATTTATATCAATAATTTTGAGATATAAGTATCTATTGATTAAGTAAAAATTTATTCTTATAAAAGAAATACATCTCTATTTTTGTTATAAATTACAAATTTGTATAACTAAAAAGGTCTTTCTATTGGCATCGATGATATAATATAGTTGATCTGTGCTTTATATTAAATTCACATTATTTTCAATAGATTGATGATTCTTTTTTTAATAAGACAAAAGATAAGATGTATATTTCAGTATAATAAGATAAAGCACATCTTCGCTATTTATATAATTTATCTAGATAATTTAATCTCACGAGAATGTGCTGCTTAAAATAGTCTTATAAAATTTTAATACTCCGTTTTCCATTTGTTCGCATTTTCTTTTCGTTAATTGTACCTTTTTACTTTCTTTTTTTTTTTAATATTTATCACAATTATCACAGACGTCGCAATGTCTGCAGATAACAACAAGGAGGAAGGATGAAAGATGCTGCGTCGCCGCGCATCTCGTCGCGGCGCCCAACACTGGCGCTGGGAGGAACTGCTGACACGTGGGCGGTGCGTATCTCGATGATTGGTCCGAACGAACTCCGCCTATTCTCGACTTCCGCTCTACGATCGCGGGAGAGAGCCCGGGCCGCACGGCGAGCTACCATCGCCGGAGGCTGGAGCTCGGTGAACGAGTGGCGTTCGAATCACCACCGTTGGCTACATTCAGCGACGTTTTTCGTCATCAGCGATCGTCAAATTAATGAATTGTTGCGACGCGAATCAGCCTCGTTTACGCGACACCTCTGCGATACGGTACAATGCTCGAGACCTGAACCTCTTTAGCTTTAGCTTTAGCTTTAATTCGTTTAAATCTTTTCTTTTTTTTTAAGTAAAAAGTTTTGTTCTATCTTGAAAATTTCTCTATATACAAAGAAAAGCAGAACATAAATTTTCCATGAATTCCAGATCTCAATTTCTAAGTCTTTTCATTTGCGATTTTTGAATAAATTCGTTTCCAATTAACTCTTGATTAATTATCTTGCCTTGTAATTAGTACTTTGTATTACGAAGTATCTTTACAAAGTATCTTTATCAAATAAAGGAAGATAAAAACTTGGGGGTTAACCAAACGAAAGAGAGTAGCAGTTGGATGATCAATACATCTTATCTCAAGGCTTATGTTGGCTACTCGAATTTCCAGCTATTGAATAACGTTCCATTTTATGTTTCATATTATGTTTATCTTAAAGCCGAGAAACGAACTATAATAATGGCAACAAAAAATAAAAATGTAAAATAATACAATAACAGTAAATAATAATTAAGTTCAACTGGTAAGCTATTTTGGTAAGCAATCATTTTTAGGATAAATATTCATTATTATAAATCATCATTTGTCACGAATATAAAGACGGAATAAATCAAAACGAGCGAAAACATGAATCAATTAAAGTAAGCTTTCAATTTAGAAAATTTACAATCTCATTAGTTACATTATTAGAAACATATGGAAAGAATAATTTTGCTGAGATGTCTAAAAATTTGACCAGATATAGATATCTGAAAATAATTGTTCATTGGATATCAAAATTAAATGTAAAATGTTTAAGCGTGATGATAATACTGCAAAAATTTTATCTATATTAGCAACCAATTTGAATGTCTTGTATAAATATTTTGATAATCTGACAAAATAATTTTTAAAACTGATCAACCAAATTTTTAGATATTTCAGCAAAAGCGTTCTTTCCGATTTAAATTAAATTAATAAAATATAAAGTCGCTGAAATGTTTTTGTATGCGATATCGACAATTTAAGAGAAGAGGGTTTAGTCGTTAATTTCAAATTAGAACTTATGGAATATCAATAAGAAACAGGTGATATCGACTGCATTATATCGATTAAAGTGAAACCAGGTGGCTTGCCAGAATTACTATCGTTGAGACCTGTCGTACTTATTAGATATCTCTCTCTCTCTC